AAATGCAACATCAGTGTGGTACTCATGGAGGATAACTTTCCTCTTCGGTATAATTATATAAAGGAGATAGTTGCTGCTCTCTCATACATGGATGTTGCAGTTTGAATTGCTGAATTAGGCTAAAAATGCACTATTACAGATTCTTTTCAGTTCAAGTCTCTTTCTGATGACATTATAAGGATCTGTGACTATTTGATAATATCTGCCTAAATATGTTGTAATTTTCCTCTTAACATTTAAATTGCTGCTTGTACATAAAAACTTTTCTTTAAAAGTTATATTTTCTACTCATGGAGGTCGCCATGTTTTCACCTGTGCAATGCATGCTGGGTTAATGATGCAGGTAGGTTGTAGTGGACTAGAACCTACAGGAACACAGGAGTGCTAACATTTCTGGAGTTTTTATGTTGTGTTGAATTGGTGTAAATTTACACGTCGGTGCTTCAAAGTGTTCATGAGCCCTTCTACATGAGATATCTATTGAAACAAGCTAATTTGATTGGTTTATGAAGTTTAATCCAAAATTTTTACATGTCTGTTTGGTCAACACTAGATCAGGTTAAAATGCCGTCTGGCTACGTCCAGTCTCCTGGGTCCTTCCAGGACCTTTTGGATGAAGTCAATAACATGGCTAATGCCCACATACTCTTTATGTTTCCATCCGTTTCTTAGTTTTATCCCCTCAATGTTTAATAGCAAGAGATCACAGGATGTCATTACAGTTCACTCCAAGTTGAAATAAAATGAAATCAAGTCTGTTCTCTATGTTTCTTGAATGAATGAGGCCACTCAAACTGAGCCTGGTTCTGCTGGAGGTTTCTTTCTGTTCAAAAGGAGCTCCCTCACCAATAACTGGAGCATTAAGGAGGTCCCTCACCAATAACTGGTGGCCACAACTTATCCACCTCGTACCCACTTATTAGTGACGTCTGGCCATGACTAAACATCCTGTAAAAAACATTTCTGTGCATCTCACCAGACGGGATCCTTAGGAACAACACCCTTAATAGATTAAATGCAACATTTACCATTGTGAATTTATATAAAACTAGTGTATAGTTTCAGAATTTAACACCTCATAAATGTGTCAAAACTTTTCAGGATTTATGGACAAATATAGCTGAGTATCATCAAAATAACAGTGGAAACTATTCCCATCCTGTCTAAAACATTGTAGCCATTGCTGCCATGGGTCACGCTGACAGAAGCAAACCAGGGACTACCAGACCCTCTAAAGACCATCAGTGTGTCACCAATACAAGTCAAGACACAAGGACTGGGCTGTGACTCAAATCAGCAACCCAGAGTTTCACTTGATGTTGCTGTTAGCGCATAGCCTTTGAGAGACAAGAGTTCACCAATGGGTTGGCTTTCTGGGAAAATCTGCCAATTGTTTATTTTAAAATCAACACTTTGTTGTCTGAATTTAACCCTGTGAATTAAAACCATTTCTTTGGAGAAACTAACTGTCTCATTGTTGAATTAGACTAAACAAGTGTAGCGCTAAAACCGTACTATCAACATATGACACCAAAACTGGATATTTAGCACATTTGATTTTTCTATGTAATATTTACTGTATTGGCAAGATCTAACATGATTAGCAAAAGCTGAAGTGAAATTGGAAGATAATGATTCAGTCATTTGGTTTTCAGTAGAATATTTGTTGCAAACAACTTCAATTAGAAACAAAGGCTCTTGCTTAATTCACAAGAACGAGAGTACGGACTCATTTCTTTGCTAAGTATTTTGTTGACAAGAACAAAAGAAAGTATGGACTCTGGGAGACTTAGCTTGTCTGGAGCTGCATTTTACCTCCTGTTTTTAATAGTCTCTAGATAATAATGAATTGTCACTTTTTTCATTTAGTGGGTGGATAATAATTAATCCAGTTGGATAAACACGAATCTAATGAACAATTTGATAAATAAAACAAAAAACCTCTTTCAGAGCCAGCGTTTCTTCACACATGGCTATGCAGAAAGAGGGCTGCTGCAGATGGGCTAATGTTAGCCCTGGCTGCTGCAGACGGGCTAACGTTAGCCCTGGCTGCTGCCGATGGTCTAATGTTAGCCCTGGCTGCTGCAGACGGGCTAACGTTAGCCCTGGCTGCTGAAGACGGGCTAACGTTAGCCCTGGCTGCTGAAGACGGGCTAACGTTAGCCCTGGCTGCTGCCGATGGGCTAACGTTAGCCCTGGCTGCTGAAGACGGGCTAACATTAGCCCTGGCTGTGTTTAGCCTCAGAGATCTGCTAGTTGCCACAGTCTTCTCAACATTTAAACTTTTGTTAAAATCACGCAATAAATCAGTAATGGGCCATATAGTGATGCAAAAAGTATAGTGTTTTCGCTTCAAATTATCTTAAAACATATTTTTAAAGACCGGCAACAGAAAAGAAAACTTGAACTTAATACTCTGAGCTCTGTAAGCGCTCCACTGGAAGAGGCTGCTGTTGTGGTGCATGCTGAGACATGCACAGTAGCTACCTATTGTGGTTTCTACATTATCATCAAATTTCAACCAGCTCCAGTTTAAACTGAACATTTTTAACGTTACTCGTTACTATTTTGGCTGCACCGAGCCAGGGCTACAGAACCAAGCATACATCATTTACCCAGAATGTATTGCAGCGTCAACAACTGTATGTGTCACAATGTCTAATTTAAATGTATTGAAACTAATCAGCTTACAGTAATTTTACTGTATTGTTTAAACATTTAAAATAAATATTTCTCAAAAAAACAGTCTATTATTACATCTAATGGTGGATCCCTTTGAAGATCTTGAAACTGCTTTTCTATAAAGTCCAGGAAATGTTGTATCAGATTGTCAGAATGTGTTAATCCTAAATCTTATTCGCATACAAAAGAAAAAAGGAGAAACTCCTTGGATACATGAGCTCTGTTTGAAACTGAAAAACAAAAAGTTCAACCAAATCCAACACAATTCACCTTAAGGTAATGGTGTAAATATTATAACTAGCAAAGTTTTTCTTCATCGCCTTTCTCTGGTATGTGTGTACAAACAGAAAAGCATAGTTAAAGGGCAGGTTTGTGGCGTGGAAACTGAAAACTATTCCATTTCGTTACTTTTCCCTCCTTAAATGTGACGTATTTACTCATCCTCTTCCCTTATTTGTGGTGTGTGTGTGAGTGTGTGGGGGTCAGATCCTTGATGGGAACTCAGAAGGAACATAGAACAACCACGCTCTCCATCAACAGTCTCTCTAACAACAGTTAGTTACTTTCCTGTCTATTATTCCTGTGAGACATTAGAAGAAATCCTCCAAGGAGACTAGGGAACTCCTTTTGGTTTGAAGAAGCAGCCACTCTACTCCAGAACTCCCTGCAAGGCTGAGCTTAATTCAGCCTCCATTTTCCTGAATCTGGATCTTTTGGTGAGAGTAAAGCTTTAAATGCATGCACACCAGTGAATTGACAACTTTTATTTGTTTTTTGTTTTTTTGGCTTAGCTTTCTGGAGGAATGTCCATCTTTCTACCAAGCTGTACTCAAGAACAAGAAATAGATGAATACGAATGACAAAATTCATTCCAAATTTGTAACATATCTAGAAATGTACAGGTTAAAAAAAAATAGGACTTCTTCAGATTAAATGAGAAAAAAACTCAGAAGCCAATTGATGTGTTTGAAGCTAGACTCTGGGGTTTTAGAGACTTTTTGCAGTTTTTACCATCATGAATTATCAGGAAAATTCAATTCCAAAGCAAGATAGTGCTAAAGGTTATACTTTTAGTATGGTAGAGACATTGGCTGTATCCGTATATATGCCCTAACCCCTATAAGGAGGAATATATAGTGGTTTACGTCATTTTATACAAGTGTCTGAATGTCTAGAGGATGAAAAAGTAGTGCACTCAAAAATTCCCACAAATGCCTTGTAAAGTATGATCATCCATGGTCACAACATGAGCAGATATATCCCAGCATCATGGAATGCGTGTGGAGAGCTGGAGTCCGATGGTGACCAATTAGGAGCAAAACGTAGTAATCATCTGTCTGAACAAACAGTTCATAAGTTCTCTATAAAGTCCACTATATAGTATCGTATAGGTTGACGAATTGCACCCTGTGCAAAAACTCTTTTCAGGCTCAAAAAGGACTAAATAAACACTACCAGGATGAAAGGCTTGGCATATTTAGCTTTAATTTCTCATGAACATTTGGCTTGTGGTGTTTATCTAATTATTTTAAAATGTGTTGACTTAGAACTTCTTTTAGAATTTGATCCCAGGAGTGTAGCTTTGGTGTCATCAAACCAGAATCAATTTAACCCAAATTGTCTATCATCCTGCAATAAAAGCTCCTGATTGGAGTTTATACTGCACAGACGCCTTGAAATGAATAAATACAGATATAATGGCAAGTATTTAGTAAAGTATACTACTTAGGGATATTATTTTAAGGGTATATTTTAGATATTTAAGGGTAGATTTAATTATTTGGAAATGTATTTGATTATACATTTACATGTATTAATCTCTTGCTATATTTTTCTATATCATGTTGTCCCCATGGAGTACAGGAGATGGTTGAACTAATGCTGCACCTTTCAATCCTCTTAGTGATGTTGGGGAAACACAAGCACATGTGCCATATTTTCTTTTCCAAATTATTCATGACTGTCTTCATAGTTCCATAGCAAACATTTTAATGCCAATGTCATTATACAACGTGTTGCTTTTGATGAATGCAAATCAAGGCTTCAGTTAAGGGATGTATTTTTTCTCTTTTGAGAGTTAAATCTTGCAGAATGTGTCCCATTAAAGGTGGAAAAAGTTTGGAAATGATTTACCTCCGATTCAATATTTAACAGGAGAAATAGTTTGCATTTCATAAAGAAGTGTGATCAGGTTTCAGATCCATTGAAGTTTAGAGTTGAATAGATTCCTCTTCTGATGAGGCGCCCGCTGGGCGAAACATTGGTGTAAAATCAGTCATCCAGCTGTCACACATCAGCAGTTACAATAAGTCATAAAATAGAGACTTTGTTTGTTTTATTCCTACTTAGGTTGCATTACAAATTAAAATGACAAAGGGGGGGAGGGGCATTATTTTCACACCAAAGCTAGCACAGAAAAATAAAAAAAAACACAGTTCATAACGCCGTAACAAGTATTGGCCTCGTGTAGGTTTGATATTTTCCTCTGCTTTAAAACCTTCAGCCCAAGCATGCACGTCTTATAATGAATCACTAACAAGATGTTAAAATTATGCACAGCTGAAATGCGGACGGCTAATATGGCTGAAAGAGAAACGGAAACAGAAGGAACCTTTTAACTTCAAAGGTCAACATCAATCGTCTAATTTGACACATACTGTTTTTAGATTGATCTCACCTGGAGGCTAGAGGGCCTATTCACAATGATCCATGGCCGATATCAGCAGCAGCTATGTATACAGCACATACATTAGTTCTATGTGGTTCAAATAAAACAGACATATATCTAGGATCATATATACTACACAAATATAGATTCTTTGATTTTCTTGTTTACTTTTCAGCAATGAACACGAAAATGTCAACATCGAATAAGAAAGTCATTCTTCCATGAGAGTTACCCAATGAGATAGAGTCCAGGTGTTTTTCACGCGGCTTCTCCGATGGCGTCTGTAGAAAAAAGGTGATCCTTCCGCTGCAGTCGTGACCGGTGTTTATAGTGGCTAGTAACAATATGCTAAGTGCAAGAGCAGAAGTGGGGAGGAAATGAGGGGTAAACTGTGCTGTCCGCGTGGTGGAGCTCCAGAGGGGGTGGATCATGGTGAGCAGGTTACGAAGGGAGGTAAAACAGGCAATTACTTTTTCTTTTTTTCCCTCTGTTTGCTTTCAAAGCCAACAGTTGAGCTAGAATATGGGAGAGACTTATGACTGTTCTTTAAATTATAACAAGGCATCCCTCACCAAGCCACACACCAGAAGCAGGACGGCAAGTCCAAAGCTGCCCAATATTCTTGTACCTGGAAAGAGACAAACACAGGATAAACAGGTGGTTACAACAAGCTTGAAAGACACCATGTTTGTTAGGGGTGTGGGAAAAAACCAAGTAGTGTTATATCGAGATTTTCGGCTGCCTTGTACATCTGAAGTTGAGGCACTCATAGGTGAAGACGTGGACTGACTCAAACCCCAAACAACATAGATACCAAAATAATAAAAATGATCAATGTCTTCTTATAAACATTTACAGCACTTGCTCTTTTATCTATATATTTAATTTTGAAATCTATGAAAAACATCGCAAAACCTCATGGTATTGCAATATTGTGATAATATCGTATTGTGACTCTAGTATCATAGCATGTATCGTATAGCAACACCCATGCCAATACTCCCCCTTAGTGTTTCTAGACCTGATTGGTGACATGTTGGGTGTGCAGCATCTAAATATGGTCGCATAAGGACATGGTGTCTGAATTTCAGAGCCAGAGCATATTGCAGAAGAAACTGAGATGTTTATTTGCTAAACAGGTCATCGTTGTGGCCTTCAAAAGACCCAATGACATTAGATTAGATCCGTCCCCAAAACAGTGATGTTATATATGCTGTTAAATATGGAGTCAAGTTTGTTCAGTCATCATTGACAGAAATTGACATACTTGTGTCATTGGAAAAAAGTATTCAACTTTTCACTCCACTTAAATAAATGATCAATGGATTTCACTTTATGGCACTTTATTTTATCTTTGCAAAGAGAGGACAGTTCATCATACGGCCGTTAATTGCATGGTAATCAGACCTGTTCTGATCTGGCCCTGTTTGTTCCCCCTTACTTACAATAATGAAAAGTAGTCAGAGTAATAAAAACTGCAGACACTTCTGGAAACAATAACATGTTATGAATAAGTGGAAAACTTTTTTTCAGAGTAAATAGCATAAATCAATATATGAAATAAGAGGAATCTAAATTTTTCTGACCAGTTTGATAGATAGAAATAGCTAAAAAAAAGTCCAGAAATTAAACTTTGACAAATGACTTCGTTTTTTTGAAACTTTTCAAAACTTAATTTAAAACTTTTTTTGTTTTTATTTATTGTTATTTTGCATTCTGTTTAAAACTGTTTCAAAACCCAAATCCTCTCTTCACTGAAGGCCAATAGAAAGGCTCTCTCCTGCATACTAACTAATTAAAATGTTGTTTCTGTTGTTAAGCAGACCAATAGAAACGTGTTTTTGCTCCTCAATCCAGACGAAAATCTGCCCCAGAAGTAAAGAGAATGTGATCCTAAAACACTATATGAAAAGAATTAATTTCTTAAAACTTATCCAATGAAGAGAAAAAAAAAAAAAAATAGAAAACATAAAATCTGTTCATAAATCTTGTTGTTTTTTGCAAAATACAAATATTTGTTATTTAATTATTCCAAAGGGATTATCTAGGTGGTTTGTGTCCTTTGAAGGATGCATCAGGACATTCTTTATTTGTAATTGAATGAAGTAGAAACATGCTTTCTGTACATAAGCATAATTTTTGTATAGCCCTTCTAGATAGATAGATAGATAGATACACTATATTGCCAAAAGTATTTGCTCACCCATCCAAATTATTGGAATCAGGTGTTCCAATCACTTCCATGGCCACAGGTGTATAAATTCAAGCACCTAGGCATGCAGACTGTTTTTACAAACATTTGTGAAAGAATGGGTCGCTCTCAGGAGCTCAGTGAATTCCAGCGTGGAACTGTGATAGGATGCCACCTGTGCAACAAATCCAGTCGTGAAATTTCCTCGCTCCTAAATATTCCACAGTCAACTGTCAGCTGTATTATAAGAAAATGGAAGTGTTTGGGAACGACAGCAACTCAGCCACGAAGTGGTAGGCCACGTAAACTGACGGAGCGGGGTCAGCGGATGCTGACGCGCATAGTGCGAAGAGGTCGCCAACTTTCTGCAGAGTCAATCACTACAGACCTCCAAACTTCATGTGGCCTTCAGATTAGCTCAAGAACAGTGCGCAGAGAGCTTCATGGAATGGGTTTCCATGGTCGAGCAGCTGCATCCAAGCCATACATCACCAAGTGCAATGCAAAGCGTCGGATGCGGTGGTGTAAAGCACGCCGCCACTGGACTCTAGAGCAGTGGAGACGCGTTCTCTGGAGTGACGAATCGCGCTTCTCCATCTGGCAATCTGATGGACGGGTCTGGGTTTGGCGGTTGCCAGGAGAACGGTACTTGTCTGACTGCATTGTGCCAAGTATAAAGTTTGGTGGAGGGGGGATTATGGTGTGGGGTTGTTTTTCAGGAGCTGGGCTTGGCCCCTTAGTTCCAGTGAAAGGAACTCTGAATGCTTCAGCATACCAAGACATTTTGGACAATTCCATGCTCCCAACTTTGTGGGAACAGTTTGGAGCTGGCCCCTTCCTCTTCCAACATGACTGTGCACCAGTGCACAAAGCAAGGTCCATAAAGACATGGATGACAGAGTCTGGTGTGGATGAACTTGACTGGCCTGCACAGAGTCCTGACCTCAACCCGATAGAACACCTTTGGGATGAATTAGAGCGGAGACTGAGAGCCAGGCCTTCTCGTCCAACATCAGTGTGCGACCTCACAAATGCGCTTCTGGAAGAATGGTCAAAAATTCCCATAAACACACTCCTAAACCTTGTGGACAGCCTTCCCAGAAGAGTTGAAGCTGTTCTAGCTGCAAAGGGTGGACCGACGTCATATTGAACCCTATGGATTAGGAACGGGATGTCACTTAAGCTCATATGTGAGTCAAGGCAGGTGAGCAAATACTTTTGGCAATATAGTGTAGATAGATAGATAGATAGATAGATAGATAGATAGATAGAAAAACCAACCTTAAACAGAGGGGGTGGAGTTAGATTCCAGCTTTCAAAAACCTAGAATGCAGCAATTGAGTTTCCTTCCTACTATCATCGCAACCCCAACCCCTATACGAGGGAACAGAAGACCTCGCCTATTCAGCCAGGTCAACAATTCCCTTTAACGACCCCCCTTTCAGAGACATAGACAGGTATGGGGCATTGCAGGCTAACAAAGAAGCCAAACGACCCCCATTCCAAAGGGGTGGACCCTTTCATCTGTTTCAATTTGCATGTTTTCTTAACAAACACAAGGCTTTGTAGGGCTACTGTATAAAACCTGGAACTCAACGCTATTTCCGACATTTGGAATTGAAAAAGCTTCCTGGATGGAAGAGAAACGTCTACAAATTTGGAAACAAAGACCAGTGGACTGTTTTTTTTTACTTTTTTGGAATTACTATGTCCTGGTGAGTGAGGATCTTCACCAGCATCATCACATTTCCATTTCTTAAAGTGCAGCAGTGATGTAAACAATATGGGAGAAATAACTTCCAAAAAAATGGAAGTTCAGAGTATTTTTCCATGTCATGCTGGGTTACTGTTTAGAGAGGAACTGTCCTAACTAGATAAGCTACTTGGGAAAACATTAGTTCTGACGTGCAGCAGGCAGGTATTATTAGGGTTTAACAGACTCACACATCATCAATAAGAATAACCCCAGGGTAACTGGATCTGCTCCTTTTCATCTCTCTGACATGACAACTGGCTCAGAGCCAAACAGAACCACCTGCGGAGCTAGTTTAAAGTTAATGTTGACGCATAAATGCTCGTTTTGAAGGATTGTTGTAGAGTCAACAACACAATGCAAGTGATTATTTACTGTCTCTACCTGCTCATCCAGGAGGAGAGAATCCTGCAAAGTTAATGATTGCAAGCAATCACTTAACTTTGCTTAGATAGAAATGTTGAACCAGTCTGACTGGATTATCTGGTTAAAGGGTCTCTGTAAAGCGAAATGTGTTGGGAACTGGGGCTATACAATTTAACTGAATCAAGTGTTGTCACCCCCCCCCCCCCCCCCCCCCCCATCAGGGAATGATCCCAGTGGGACTTCTGCTCCTCCCGCTGAGGCTCCAGACAGGGGAGATATTCTGTCTGGGATAATAAGACAGACACCGCTCCTGTTACTTTCTGCAACGGTCACTGAGACTTTTGCCACAGTTTGATAAAAAAAAAAAAGAAAAAAAACTTCCGGAACACAGGAACTTTTGACACTATGTGTGGCGGAACGGTTAATACTGACAGAAACAAAATAAACCCACAGAAACATCCTTGAATCCTCACAGAGGTATAAACGCAAGAAAACCTCCATTTTATGTCCTGAACTAGGCAGGTATTTACCATTAGGCAATACTAGGCAGTTGCCTAGGGCTCCAAGTTCCTGGGAGCCCCAAAAAATTCTGTTTACATGTATGGTTAATAAAACTATTTCTTATTTGTGCACATCAATTATGTTTTTGATAAAAATCCTTTTGCAAAAAAATGCCTTCAGAACCTTAAAAATTTTTAAGGGTGTTCAGCCCCCAAAACCCATCTTTTATTTTTTTCCTGGGAAAACCAGCAATGGGTAACCCAAAGCCCTTTAGGAAAATTTGTTTGTTCTCTTTCACATCCTTAGCTTCATGCCCCCCCATCTCCCGGGGGGGAGATATCAAACCGCTTCACATCTGAACATTACAGTGTTTATTCCTCAGTAACTTCATTTAAAGCAGAAATGAAAAGAATATTCCGGTATGTGGCAGCTGTTTGTCTTTGTCTGTCACAGAGGACCACAGATAATCCTTTGGACAAAAAAATTTACAGAGAAAAAAAATGACAACATAAACATTTAGACTCTATTTCCCCTTTCCCGGGGGTTTGAAGTTCAGGGGTTTGTTTTTGGGGAGATTATTTAAAGAAAATTCGGCCGTCCCAAAGGGGGAAATGGCTGCAAAGGGGAAAATCCCCCTTTCACTGTGGGCAGGAGATTTTTTTAAAGGAAAAAACCAAAACGAAAAAGCTCTTTGTCACAAAGGAACACCTCATTAATGGAATAAAAAAAAAATTTTTATCGCCTTTTTTTTTGGAATGTTAAAAACCCCTTCCCCCCTTTTTTTCCCAAAAAAAGTTTTTTTCCATAGCTAATTGTC